CCTGCCCCGGAACGCATGGTACCGCAGTGCCGTGCGTTCCAGCGCAGGGCGACCTAATGACCGAGGACAAATGTGGGTCCCGAGGTGACACAGGGTGAGAAGTTTTGATCCAGGAGAACTGTGTCCTGGTCACACAATACACGGGGCCAAGTTCCGGAAGCCTGCACATTGGACCCGAGGAGCCGCAGCAATTACAGGCGACAGCTCAGCAGAAATACGTCGGATCGGCCTTCATCGCGTGCGTCCACGTCTCAGAGTGCGGGACCCGCGGCTCGGTCCACCAGGAAAGCAAAACAAACGGCAAACGCACTCCTAACCGGCCGCACGGCGCCGTGCACGCGGAAGGGCCACATACAGGACAACAGCAAAACGTTTCCCCGCACACTCACCAGCCGGCATGTCTCACCGCTGAGGGTAACAACCGAGGTCTTAGATACGTCTTCCGCGTCTGTTTGTTGCATGCCGGCTGGTGAGTGCGCCGGGAAACATTTTAGTATTGGTCTATCGGGACCCCTCCCCCTGGTCTATCGGGACCCCTCCCCCTGGTCTATCGGGACCCCTCCCCCAGCGGGCGTCTTGTCCCTGACACACACACAAGCTGCCACGTTTTATACTTCCCCTCATTTTCCTTTCCCGGTGTCAGTACAAAGCCGCAGACTTGCCCCGGGGGTTCTTTGCCAGTTGGGTCGGTCCCTGCAAGGGTCCGATTTACAGTCCTCACGGGTCCGGGGGATATGTAGGAGGGCAGAGCCGCTACCACACGCATGTCACCCTGTATGGGCACCAGGAAGGGAAAAATGACCCGCGCCTGGCACCGATATATATACGGCTGGTATGTGAGAGGCGAGGACCGGGGCGAAACCCTCAGATACAAGTATAGGAGACACGCCTCTCTGCCTGCCCACCAGCATGCGGGAGAAAGGTAACACAATGGCTGCCCATACATGGAAGGCAAATGCAGAAAAAAAGTTTCAGGGCTGGAAATTTGCTGGATGACTTTACAATGTTGGCTCTGGAGAAAGTGTACGTGAATGTAGAGGAGCCGCTTACCTGGGGACAGTTAGGTGGTTCTCCCAGGAGGAGATTTGTCCTGATGTACTGTCCTGCTGATTATTCATCAGACAGGAAGTGATGGAAAATCTCCACCACCAACATAATAGCAGTAAAAACCTGGCAAGGGGTCTAACCCTCCCCCCACGTTTTTGGCTTGACAAGCTCGATGGTCTCAGAACACGTCATGGAACAACAAGAGTCAGTTGCTCATAAGTTTTAATGTAACCAAAATATAGAATATTATGTCGGCAGCAAATGTTCCCAGGGAAAGTCATGACATACAGGGCGGCCGGCACCACACTCTCACATGATCAGGAATGTCATCAGGCCGGCGTCATCCTGTCCCTCTGTAACAGGTAGCTGGCGGTGCGGATGGCGAGGGGCAGCGAGGTAGAGGGGTCCCGGTGAAAGGACGGCTCGCCCACATCAGCCGGAGGCGTCAGTACAAACTGAGCCACGCTGGGCAGCTTGAGGAGGTTCAGCAGCTCGGTGGCTCGGACGAGGATCTGCTTGCTGTCCTCCTCCCCGTACGCAGAGACCATGGCGGAGCTCTGCACACAGGACCTCATCTTGGACAGGTACAGGGACACCCTGGGGATGAGGTCCTGACTGCGGGAGGCCAGCTTGGTGAGAGTGGTCATCAGCGTGGCGATCACCCGCGGCGAGGAGATGGGTGCGCTGGACGACCCTCGCAGCTGTGTGATCTCAAACAGTAAGGCCTCCAGAACCTCGAAGAACCTGTTCACCTGATCCACGGTGCACCTCCGGTCATAGGACACGGACAGGAACTCCCCCATGGCCCAGACCACGTGGGTGAAAAAAGCCTCTTTGCTTTGGATGTTGCCGACCGTGCTTATAAAGTCCAAGAGCTCGCGGGAAAGCTCGATGACCACGGAGGGGTGGAGCCGGCACAGGCGGGGGATCTGAGAACTGAGCACCCTGTGCACCTCGGCCTGGAAGGAGGAAGATCCGTGCAGGAGTCCGCTCCGCTCCAAGATCACCAACATGACCTGGTTGACCAGAGGGCCGTCGGCAAACTTGGCGACGGTGCGCACATAGAGCTGGAGCAGACACGGGACCACCTGCGCGCACTGGACCACGCGGGGGGAAGTGCTCAAGTCTGAAAGCAGCGGTCGCAGCTGGACGAAGTCCCCGGGTGGCGGCCCGTTCCACGCCTCGCAGCGCAGGAGGTACTGGAACATGTTCTTGTAATAGGGATGGCGGAACGCCTCGGCAGAACCGGATGGGAGAGCCGATGAGTCCGCAACTGGCTTCTCCGCTGAGAGGGAAAGGTGCTGGAGCTCCATGGCGGCCGTCAGACACGGCAAGTCAAGCAGGGCGTGGAGCACCTCAATGGCCGAATCCGCATTAACGAGGAGCGGGAGGAGCACAGAGAACTCGGATATCAGGGACGGGGCGTTCCACGCCAGGAGCTTCAAGAGGTTGGGGAAGCTCGACCTGAAAGGCTCCACGTTCTCAGCCAGGAAGTCACCATTCAGTCTGCAGAAGCGGATGAACTGGAAGGCCAGGAAGGGCTGATGGTAGAAGTCGGCTGGGACCTTGGTGAAGAGGTGGCGGTACACGGCCTCCGATTCTACAGCAGCGGCTTCGCTGTGATTGAGATAGAACTGAGCAACGGGCAGCAGTGCAGGCGCCAGGGAGGGATCGGAACAGAGCCGGCCGTGGAGGATCTTCACGAGGGGGAGGGTGCGGTACAAGAAGGACACGTCCTGCTTACACAGGAGGTCAATGGCGGTGACGGCCTCCACAATGCAGGCCCTCTGGAGGTCCAGGTCGGCTCTTCTCAGAGGTTTGCGGTTGCATTGCTCGATGACCCTCAGGCAATACTCGAAGCTCTTCTCCCTCAGGCGTTCCCGGGGCGGGAGGAGGCGGCTGGAGGTGGATGAGGCGGAAACCATGGAGATGACGGATCCCTCTACCTCCGACTTGTCATCGGATCCCACCGTGCCGTACTGGAGGAGCCATCGGCGGAGGACGGAGAATCCCTGGACGTTCATCCATTGCTCTTCGGCCAGGTTCTGGCTGCCATTGAGGACAGTGAAGAAGTCAGTGGAGACGGTGCCGTCCACCTCGGAGATGGCACCGGGCTGTTTGCCGCGAGGGCTGGAGAAGAAGCCAGCGGGGGCCGCGGGGCCGCTCTGGTGGATGGTGGCATAGCGCAGCCAGTCGGCCATTTTCTTGTTCACAACATTGACATTGTCCTCCTGAAGGATCTCCGGACTGGAGACAACCGCTCTCATCAGTGCCGGCAGAGCGGCCCGCAGGACGTGGCCCTCGGGGGCTCGTGACTCCAGTACACGGCAAAGGCGGGGGCCCAGTGCCACAAGATCACTATGGGAGGCCTGGGCCAGCAGCACGGAGAAGAAGTGGCCCCCAGGCTGAAGGTTGGGGCCCCAGGGCAGGCTCACCAGGGGAGTGGGGCATAGTTGGCACAAGATAGCGGCACACAGGGCCTGGAACTGAGGTTGGGGTCCACAAAGGGTCTCCACTAACTGCCCCACTAGGGGGGAGTCCAGGCGGCGGCGCTCCCTGCTGGCGGCCACGATGAGGTGCAGCCTCCGCAGAATATCCACTGTCTCAGGGCCGGTGCCGCCCAGGAGGCTCCGACACCGACCGCAGAACTTATCCAGCTCATCACCAGCCACTTCCCGGGCCTGCCGGAGTAAACTGTCCGCTGCCGGGCCGAACATCCCGCAACACTTCCGGCTTCTGTCAGACGATTGCACCCCTTTTCCGGTCGTATGACGCCGGGAAATATCACGTGACGTCCAAACGCGACCTTGTCACGCCTCACTGAAGTCACATGACCCGCGGGCGGGGCGCCAGCTAAGGGTCTTAGACACATGACTTTTTCCCGCGCCAACTCTAGCGAGGAGTAAATTGGGCCTGTCATCTGTCATTACCATAGCAACCAGCCAGCGTTTTCCTTATATCTGCCCCATTGATATACATTACACGGCCCCGACTGACCCACATGTCCCGAAAACTAGCAGAACCCCTGTGTTCTGTGGAGAGAATCACTGCCCCATTGTATATGTATTGATTTCCCTTGGGTGTGTTTGAGGCACAGATGGGCTTAGTAGTGGCGATCACCCCCTTGGAGGGAATTAATAAAGAAAATGTCCAAGACAAATTCCGTCTCCGCTTCTGCGGTTCCCATAGCAACCAATCAGCTTCCATCTTCACCGCACAGCTTATATAAGCACAACGCTGATTGGCTGAGCTCCATTTACTAAGCACAACAACGTTCTGGGGGACGGAATCGGCTTTATTCCTCCAGATACAACAAACTACGATGTATGATCCAGGTCTCACTCTCTCCTGGTGATCCTGTGGCCTCCCCGGAAGTAGACTGCCTAGTCAGTCGGCCGGCAGTCACGTGACGAACCCCTCTTCCGGTGGCCGGTAGTCACGTGGCTTGCGGCCTCCTCCCACCGGAGGATCCGGGAGCTCCAAGAGGATGGAGAGGCCCGGGGTGAGTGACAGCAGGACGGTGTACCGTGTGATTTCACGGCCGAATATACTGTATACAGAGGACAAGGATGACACCGGGTTGCAGGGCCCCTTCCTGTATACAGTGTAATACTCTGCAGGGTCCCCTTCCTGTATACAGAGGGCATACTACTCTGCAGGGTCCCCTTCCTGTGTACAGAGGGTGCATTACTCTGCAGGGTCCCCTTCCTGTGTACAGAGGGTGCAATACTCTGCAGGGTCCTCTTCTTGTGTACAGAGGGTGCAATACTCTGCAGGGCCCCCTTCCTGTATACAGTGTAATACTCTGCAGGGTCCCCTGCCTGTATGCAGAGGGTGCAATACTCTGCCGGGTCCCCTTCCTGTATACAGAGGTTGTAATACTCTGCAGGGTCTCCTGCCTGTATGCAGAGGGTGCAATACTCTGCCGGGTCCCCTTCCTGTATACAGAGGGTGTAATACTCTGCAGGGTCCCCTGCCTGTATACAGAGGGTGCAATACTCTGCCGGGCCCCTTCCTGTATACAGTGTAATACTCTGCAGGGTCCCCTTCCTGTATACAGTGTAATACTCTGCAGGGTCCCCTTCCTGTATACAGTGCAATATTCTGCAGTGTCCCCTTCCTGTATACAGAGGGTGTAATACTCTGCCGGGCCCCTTCCTGTATACAGTGTAATACTCTGCGGGGTCCCCTTCCTGTATACAGAGGATGTACGGCACTGATTGCGTCTCTGTGGACGTGGTTGGGTCAGTACGGCACTGATAGCGTCTCTGTGGTTGGGTCAGTACGGCACTGATTGCGTCTCTGTGGACGTGGTTGGGTCAGTACGGCACTGATTGCGTCTCTGTGGACGTGGTTGGGTCAGTACGGCACTGATTGCGTCTCTGTGGACGTGGTTGGGTCAGTACGGCACTGATTGCGTCTCTGTGGACGTGGTTGGGTCAGTACGGCACTGATTGCGTCTCTGTGGACGTGGTTGGGTCAGTACGGCACTGATTGCGTCTCTGTGGACGTGGTTGGGTCAGTACGGCACTGATTGCGTCTCTGTGGACGTGGTTGGGTCAGTACGGCACTGATTGCGTCTCTGTGGACGTGGTTGGGTCAGTACGGCACTGATTGCGTCTCTGTGGACGTGGTTGGGTCAGTACGGCACTGATTGCGTCTCTGTGGACGTGGTTGGGTCAGTACGGCACTGATTGCGTCTCTGTGGACGTGGTTGGGTCAGTACGGCACTGATTGCGTCTCTGTGGACGTGGTTGGGTCAGTACGGCACTGATTGCGTCTCTGTGGACGTGGTTGGGTCAGTACGGCACTGATTG